GTCTTTTTTGAGAGAAAAATACTTGTAATTCATGCTGAAAAGCTACATTGTAGCAGGTCTGAATTTATGTATATGTAATATATCAACACATATCTGGAATCAAATATTAATTACAATTGTTACTTCTTACCACGGCAAATATTATTTGGTTAACAAGATTTCACTTTATTTTCACAACAGCAGCAAATGCGAGATGTTTTGTCTACTGAGTACATAGCTGACATCTACATCTATAGCAACTACTCCAGTCACCTTTATTTCTATAGCACTTTATACTATACAGATGGTTTCAAAGCCGCTTTAAAGTAATAAATAGGAAAATAATAGCAATGTTCATCAATTATGAAACAAGTTCAATTCAGTTAAGCAACTCTACAAAGACAATGTTATTCAGCTCAAGTCAGTTCAGTTGATTCAATTCAATTTCATCCAGCTTGGTTTTGTTCTCATCCGATAGTGCCGTCAAATCGATAATAGTAACAGCAAAAATCATCTTAATTTGATTTAGCGTTCTTTAGTAAGCTGATTATTTAGTAGGCATGACTTTTTACACATGCCAAACTGATTCAATTACTGCTTCCTTCAGCTATTACTTTATTTTTCTTGAGACAGAGAAAGTTGAGTCTTCGCTCACAGTTGTCAGGTTTCCAAACAATCTTTTTTTTATTAAACACCCCACAGTGCTGATCCACAGGAGGGCACTGTGGCTCCCCCTCAGATGACCAGCCCTTATATTCAACATTATTTCCATCTACCCAAAACCAATGACCGGCTATGAACCGTAGACCAATCCACACATCGTCCACATGGGCTGGCGTGCTCTTATTCTTCGCCTCTATCATCATCGGATCTGAGGTTAGGCCAGCCATATCAACGTGGTTTTGTCTGCAGTATTCCAGGGCCTCTATCCATGTGTTTTCCTTCTGCACCAGGATTAGCTCAAATACCTCCATACAATAAAACGGTATAGATAAAAGGCAAGTGGCATCATGCAGTTTAGCATTTGATTTTAGAACCGCAGCACACTGTTCATGCAAAGCATCCGGTTGTCCAGAATCCCACATGATATTAGATGCATTCTCACCTCCACTCCATTTCCAGAGCAGTGGGCTTTGGGAATCTCTTTGAAGTCCAATCCAGAAATATTCAGAAGTGATCTTTGGATTCGCAGAGAGTAGTTTCACTTCTACATTGCTGGCGGTGGACAGGTCATCATGGTACTTTCTGCAGTACTGCTGTGCATCTGTCCATGTCATGCTCTCATTCACATAAATGTGTCGTCTGTAGAGGCTGGTGTTCACAATAAAGAGAGACTGAACCAGAAACACAGTCACTGTAGCCTTCATTGCCATACTGTCAATGTATCCGGTGTTGGAACAAGAGCAGAAATGTGGTGAAGTTTTCAAGTCTGCATTTATTTATTAACAACAATTTGATACCACACCTCTCCAATGATTTCCTACATAACAGACCAATAAAAAGCAGTCCTGGCCAATTATAGGATTGGCCCTTCCTTCTCTTTTATCCTGCATTGCACACCCCACCACTGGAAGCGGTATATATCACAGGACAAAAACAAAATGTGATTTGACTTACAAAGTGGAAATGAACTGTGCATCTTTCATTTTGTAATTTTCATAGATCAACACTCTTCATTTCCATCCTCAACCACTCAATGTACGAACATTTCCAGAAAGAATTGTAAAAAAAAATAACTTCCTTTTCATGATTTTATTTACAATAAATGAAAACATGTTTAATTATCTCTCCCTAAAGTTGGCATGAAAAGAAAGTTGCATTATCTTGACTTTTTTCCCCCCACTATTGTGATGTATTAATGGAAGCTTGTTTCCACCACGGCATAAAAAATTAAACAGATATTTGTGACTTCTGACTTTTTTCCTCACAATTCTGAGATTATATCTCACAACTGTAACTTTTTTTCTTGTAACTGACCCTTCGCTAAGACCCGTCCCCTTTAGTTACTGCTGCGACGTATGACAAGCCATTGCGTTCTTACGACACATCATGTTGTCATGCAGTGAAAAATACATCGTGGAGCAAAGACGACACTGACAACGTGCTAACAGACAAGACAGAGCAGGTTACTTCTGGTATGAAACAAAGTCTTTCACATTTTGTCATTTTATTAAAGAAATTCAAACAATAAAAACTGTTATGTGGCTCTTTAAAGGGATAGTTCACCCAAAAATGAAAATTTGATGTTTATCTGCTTACCCCCAGGGCATCCAAGATGTAGGTGACTTTGTTTCTTCAGTAGAACACATATGATGATTTTAACTCCAGCCGTTGCAGTCTGTCAGTCGTATAATGCATGGCAAGCGCAAGTAAGTACCATTTTGATTAGCCGTCGTACCTACAATGACTGTGCACTGTGTAAACAATGAGTGACGTATGCGCGCGAGAGATCACTTCCGGCGCTTGCGTAAACTACGCCAGAGCTCGTACACACCTCACGCACCGGATGCCGTGCGTGCGCCCAAAGACAGTTGGACATAGTGGTGTATTAGAGGTAAAAAAAAATGATATAAATACTGTTCAGTTTCTGGCACAAACCGATCGTTTCGTGTCTTAGGACATCAATGTGTCGTCACGAGCCGCAGGGTTTAATTTGGATTTGTCTGTGCATGTTTTTT